CAGCACGTGGGCGCGCGGGCGCACGCCTGCCCCGACTGCGGGAAGACCTTCGCCACGTCCTCCGGCCTCAAGCAGCACAAGCACATCCACAGCACCGTGAAACCTTTCATATGTAAGTCGTCCCCGGCTGGGCGCACGGGCCTGCGGGCGTTTCAAGGATCACGCCAAGGCAGGGGGTCCCGGGGCCCGGTTGGTGCAGAGGCACCGAGGCGGCGGGGGCACCTCTGCCCCCAGAGCCAGGCCAGGCGCTGTGCTGGGGCCACCGGTCCATGGCGCGGCTCCCTCACCCCCCCCTCGTCTTGTGCCTCTTCCCTCACTTTCTCCTCCGCTTCCCTGGTTCCTCCCTCACACATCCCTGCAGAGGCCAGAGGTGGCCACGGCTGCTAGGAAGTTCCTGGGTCCCGCCTTCTTCTCCCCTGCACACCCTCTCCCCGCACTCAGGCCCCACCCAACCCGGGCTCCCGGAGGCACGGCCATGCCAGTGGCACCCACCGAGTTCCGCTGGGGCCTGGGCTACATTCCCAGGACTGTCCGGGTGGCAGGGCCCAGTGAAATAACGGAGGAGACAGCGGTCGAGCCATGTAACCCTTAACCAGGCATGTGACCAGCGCCCGAGCTGGGGGTGGGGCAGGGCAGGACTAGGAGGCTCTCTGTGCCAGGCGGGCACTGTTCCACCCATGCGATGGGAGGTCGGGCAGCCTGTGGGACAAGTCACTCCAGCAGAGACTGAAGGAGGAGGAGAGAGCGGGACAACAGCTCTGAGCATAGAGGCCAGGGGGCCAGTGTGTCTGGGGGGTGAGTGATAGGGGGTACATAGGAGAGGGGTCAGAAGTCACAAAGGGCTAGGTCCCAGGGACCTCATGGGCCAGCCCAGGGAAGTAAGCCTGAAGGTTTTCCTCTGCCTAACAGTGCAATGAGCAATCATTTCACACCAGATAGTGCTGAGTCACCATACACGCCAGATAGTGCTGAGTCACCATACACACCAGATGGTGCTGAGTCACCATTCACACCAGATGGTGCTGAGTCACCATTCACACCAGATGGTGCTGAGTCACCATTCACACCAGATAGTGCTGAGTCACCATTCACACCAGATGGTGCTGAGTCACCATTCACACCAGATGGTGCTGAGTCACCATTCACACCAGATGGTGCTGAGTCACCATTCACACCAGATAGTGCTGAGTCGCCATTTCACATGCATTATCTCACAGTACACTCACAAAATCCTAGGGAACAGGGTCTGTGCTATCTCTAATGACCGAGAAGGAAACGGAGGCTTCAGGACATTAAGGGGCCAGGTGCTCAAGGCCATGCGGCCAAACCCTGCTTCTCGTTCAGGGTGGCTGGCTCCTGACCCCAGGCGAGGCGGCCTGGGACTTCTCAGGCTGCATTACATCAAAGCCAGGAGGGGTGACCCTGGGAGTGTGGGGAGTTGTGTCAGGTGTTCTCGCCATGGGGGGTCATTCTGTGTGTGTGTGTGTGTGTGTGTGTGTGTGTGTGTGAATGTGGGTGAGTGCAGGCATGTGTGTGTCAGTGTGTGCATGTATGTGAGTGTAGGTGTGTGGTGTGTGCCTGTGTGTGTGAGTATGGGTGTGTTCATGTGAGGGTATGTAAGTGGGTGTGTGCCTGCGTGTGTGTGTGACTGTGGGTGTATGCATGTGTGTGAGTGCTGGTGTGTGCATTGGGGGGTGTAGGTGTGTATGGGTGTGTGAGTGGCTGTGTGCATTGGGCGGTGAGTGTGGGTGTGTGCGTGTGAGGGTATGTAAGTGGGTGTGTGCCTGTGTGTGACTGTGGGTGTATGCATGTGTGTGAGTGCTGGTATGTACATTGGGGGAGTGTGGGAGGTGTGAGTGGCTGTGTGCGTGGGGGGGTGAGTATGGGTGTGGGTGTAGGTGTGTGAGTCTGTATGTGTGTGAATGTGTGGTGGAGTGTGTATATCCACACATGTACCCCTCAAGGAAAACTGCTGACGGGATGAGGGTGGGCAGGGTCCCTCTGCACCCTGGAAGAGCCCGGGTCCCCATCCCTCAGGTGCTGGGCCCCACGTCCAAGGGCCTCTCAGCCGCCTCCCGTACCGGCTCTGACAGCGGCGGCCATCCAGGGTCCAGGACCCGCGTCTCCGGACCTCAGTCCCCTAGAGATGTCTCTGTGGCCCCAGCGTCTCTGCAGCCCCCGCAGTGGGAGCAGGTGGTGGGGACCCGGCATGCCAGGCTCCCAGGCCCAGACACCTTTCCAAGCTCAGGGGGTAGCAGCCACTAACGAGGCACTGACACCGCCCGTCCAGGGTCAAGGGCACAGCGACGGCCGCTTGTTTCGTCCAGCCAGGCTTGAGCTGAGCACGGTCTCTCCCCTCCCCGAGCTGGCGGGACCTGAGGGTATCTATAGATGGCCCCGTGCCTCCCCAGGGGCAGATGTGATTCCGTGAGGCAGCCTCTTCCCTTGAAAATGCTGCCGTGCCCGCGGCAGGAAGGCCCAGCGCTCATATAAATAGATGCTGTGAGGAAGGCACCGTGTCCGGGCCGGTCCCGCTGGGTGGCCCGCTGTCAGCCGCGAGGGCCGGGGAGCGAGCAGCACGCGAAACCATTGTTCCCACAGGGGCTGCCTCAGGGCGCGATTGTCCTGCAGAGAGAGACGCGGTAGGGGGGTGGGGTGCCCTCCTGCGGCTGGAAAAACAGGAGAAAGGGGCGCTGGTGACTTGCTGCTGCCACTCAGCTCACAGGCCACCGGGAAAATGGCTGCGACGGGTCCCCTGGGTCCCGGGGTCCTGCGCTCGGGCCAGCCGGCACTGCCCTCTCCTGTCGGGAGCAGAGACGGCACCGCCTCTGGATCCCAATTCGGGAGGTTCCGCTTTCCTCTGACACAGACCCAGCCCCGCGCTGCAGGCCCTGCGGGGGCCCCCTCTCCCCCCCCACCTCAGGCCACCCCCACGGCGACCACACAGGCCAGGAGCCCACCCAGCACTCCCGAGGGGTGGCCGCCTGGCTGCAGGCCCCAGGTCCTGGGACAGGAGAGGACAGGGGGGTGTGATGTGGTGGGCAGGATGGGGCAGGAAGGGAGGTGGGTCCTGGGCGAGCCCCGCGGCGGCACATGGCTGCCTGCCTGCCTTTGCCCACCTGAGGCCGGAAGTCCTTGCCCCCATTACAGACGCCGAGCATGAGGCCGAGCCTGGCTGCACGGGGGGCACAGGAGACGCAGAAGCAGCCCTTGTCCGTTCATGCTGGGAACAAGGCCACCCCTAGCATGGGGTGCACATGTGTCTGTGTGCACATGTGTTTGTAGGCACACACATGCAGATATGCACATACACAACGCAACATATGCATGTACCCATGAATGGCATGCACACGTGCTCACTGTGAAAAACATGAGCACACTTGTGTGCACATGCACACATATGTGCATTGAGTGGCGTTCACATGCATGTGTGACATGCATACATTTGTGTACGTGTACACATCCAGCCATTTATGTAACACATGAACACACATGAACACACATGCTCATGCACACGGCATTCCCACATCTGTGGGCAGCATGCACGCACACATGTCTACGTGCATGATGCATGTGCCTGCAGGTGCATGTTCTCGCATGAACATGTGTGCATCTACACACTTGCGCACGCACATGCATACCTAGTGACACACATGTACACACAGAGGGAGGCACAGGCTGCTCCGATCACCAGGGACAGAAGCCCCCTCCCAGCCCCCCCGCCCCCCGGTTTCCTGGTAATTTCATAGCGTGTTTGCGTGCTTTCTGCTGACGCTTTAGGTGAGGTCTGCCACAAGTCCTACACGCAGTTCTCCAACCTGTGCCGCCACAAGCGCATGCACGCCGACTGCCGCACGCAGATCAAGTGCAAGGACTGCGGCCAGATGTTCAGCACTACCTCCTCCCTCAACAAGCACCGGCGCTTCTGCGAGGGCAAGAACCATTACCCGCCCGGCGGCCTCTTCTC